TGGACATGAGTTTGAGCAACCTCTGGGAGATAGTGAAGGACAGGGAAGACTTGTGTGCTGCAGTTCATGGGGTTGCAAAGATTTGGACACGACTGAGCAACAGAACAATGAACAACAACGAAAATATAGTAGAATGATTTTATGACTAGAACACATTCATAGTGAAACACATGATATAATGAGCATGTTGGTAGAACCAGTAAAAATTTAGAATTCTGCACTTCAACACCATCCATCCCCCAGGCTTCAAAGGATTTTTAACACAATGGATAGTTTAAATTCTGTACATATATAATAAACCCTTTAAACTTTCACTTCAGCCCCATGTATAGAGGCCTTTGAGCCATCAATTTCAAGTTGCTTCAACAGTTTCAAGTTGTCTCAATGGAAGCACTTTTAAGTGTTTGATCTTTCTCTTTCCACTCTTGACAAAAGCTGCCATTAGAGTAGCAATAGAAATGACAATAACTAGTATTTTCTGACTGCTAGCAATGAGTCAGAGAAGGCAATGGCACCCCACTCCAGTACTCTTGCCTGGAAAGTCCCATGGGCAGAGGAGCCTGGTGGGCTGCAGTCCATGGGGTCGTGAAGAGTCAGACATGACTGAGCGACTTTGCTTTCACTTTTCACTTTCCTGCATAGGAGAAGGAAATGGCAGCCCACTCCAGTGTTCTTGCCTGGAGAATCCCAGGGACGGGGGAGCCTGATGGGCTGCCATCTATGGGGTCGCACAGAGTCGGACACGACTGAAGCGACTTAGCAGCAGCAGCAGCAATGAGTCAGTCTTCCCAGGTTGTTCAGTGGGTAAAGAATCTGCCTGCAATGCAGGACACACAGGAGATACAGGTTCGATCTCTGGGTTGGGAAGATACCCTGGAGAAGCTGAGTGACTTAAACCACCAATACAATTGCCAAATGTCCCTGGGAAGGGATTACTGCCCCCCGCCCCTTCTCATTGAGAACCACTGCATTTAGGCAAAATTAAGTTCAATCTGATGCTGAAGCTGAAACTCCAATACTTTGGCCACCTCATGGGAAGAGTTGACTCTTTGGAAAAGACCCTGATGCTGGGAGAAATTGGGGGCAGGAGGAGAAGGGGATGACAGAGGATGAGATGGTTGGATGGCATCACTGACTAGATGGACATGGGTTTGAGTAAGCTCTGGGAGTTGGTGATGGACAGGGAGGCCTGGCGTGCTGCAATTCATGGGGTTGCAAAAAGTCAGACATGACTAAGAGACTGAACTGAACTGAAGTTCAACCTCATGAGTTTATCTCAAAATTGTATAATGTAAGTAATGCAAATAAAGACTTTATGTCTCCCAATGTTAGGTAACTATAATAAAGTATATTATTTACCTTCAAAGATAAATCTATATTAATATTTAAATATTAAACATTGATTGAGTTAAACTGTTTTAAGATAAAAGTCACAAATGATATTTAGAAAATTTTATTAAAAGCGGAAGTCTCATCAAAGCCTTCTGATCCAAACATAAAAATGTGACTTTTACTCCATAAGGAAGTTTATTTATTTTTTTTTAATCCCAGAAAGACAGTAAAAGAGCTAGATGGAAAAATCATATTCAGTGTGTTTTTATCCTTGTATATTATGGTAATAAACAGTGTTCCTGTCATTTGTGACTCTTTGTTACAAAATGATGTAGACGATGTGAAAAAGCAATCTGATTAAAATAAAAAGAAGAACCTTTTTATTTTAAATGACATCTTTAGAACAGAAACATAGTTTGTTCTACTCACAGAATATGTACTTCAAATTACCCATAGTGAATTATACATAGAAACATTTCAAAACAGATGAAACTATAAAAATTTAGACATTATAAATGATAAACTGAGAAGTCTTTTCTCTGTTGAATTATGAAAGAAGCTTACCAGAGAACAGTACAAAAATTTAATGTAGAGACACATGATTTTATTTCTTCTGCAGGGAAAGAAAGCACAAAAATGAACTAATCTATACAGTCATATGAAAGAATTTTAAAACCAATAAAACCCATGGGTACAATCTTCAAAATGGAAGGGAAACATGGCTAGTATAGTTTCATTCAACATTTACCAATGTATCTATATATGAGTTTTTTTTTATTTATTCACACAAGACATTTCTCTATAGCAGTAAACCTTAGAGAATAATCCATGAAACTGCTACCTGAAAGAAATGCACATTAAAAGTTTAAAGAAATGATTTCATACCATTGCTCAGATTAAGTTTTTTTTTTTATCTCCAGTATTACTCTATGATAAAAAAAAATCAAATAAATTTCCCTCACGAGGTTTTCCCCTAGAGCTCCTGATTAACAGTGAAAATGTCAGGAGAAGTGCACATTTCCTGCAGCTGTTTCGGTCTGCCAACCCTTTAACGCTTCCAGCAATGGGAACAAACGTCCAGGCTTGAGAAAGAACAAGGACAACATCCTAGAAATAGTTGTCTCAACTGGACAGTCATGCAGTATCCAGTGTAGAGCTGATTACAACTTAGTGGAGCTACAGTGAGATATCATAAGATGGCAACAGATAAGATAAATAAGATGTGTTTTACTTAATGCAGATGTGAAATTTAGAAGGGATAATTTGGGCCCCACAAGATGGAGCACACACATTTTTCCCCTTCCCCTCCAACCTGGTGAAGCTGAAAACTCGGGACATGACATAAAAACTCTAAAAGGTGGTGAGAAGTCAGACTTGCTATGTACCTCCAGACCCTGGGGAACAACAAGACAGTGAATTTCTAGGGTTTTTTTAGCCTTTTATATATCCTGGGCTGGGAGCTGAAGAAGATGGTAAATGAGGACCATCAGCCTAAGAAAAGACCATGTCCTTTCGCCAAAGGATTGGGAAAAGATAGTCTAGGAAGGTACCTTTTCAGCAATAAATTTCCTGCTTCAATCAAACACAGCACTGGAAAAACACAGCCTCTCACACCTTCCTCATCACAGTATTGGTGGGGACCTAAGCATCCACTCCAGCCAGCCACATGGAGTTTGCAAATTTCAGTAGTATGATTCCCCTTCTAGCTCTCAGAAGACTTTCTGCATGCTAGATAAAGAGATTAAAAGCAATCCTGTTTCATACATAATGTTCTATACCTCTTCATTACTCTTCAGATTTTAAGTATGTTAAGTCTTACAAGTACCTGTGCAGTAAGCAAAACAAGATTAACATACTCATTTCACTTCTTTTCCACCTTACACTACACATCAGGTCATTAACTGTGTCTACTACTCATTTCTTAATCTACCTTAGAAACAACTACTCATTTTTCAATTCTCAAATATAAAAGTGATTTCCAAACAACCAAGTTCTCTGAAACCCCTAGTGATAACTGGATTTCTGTGAATTCTGTGACATCTTGGGCTATTTTAATTGCCCATTAATACAATGCAGAAATGACCCTATGCTTTGTCACTTTACAGGAGAAGATTCAATAACAAGAAGAGTGAAAATACAGTTTTTCCCTTTGCATTCTTGAGTTTAGGGCTTCCTGCTACAAGGAATAGTCTGCAGGTCTTTCCAAGTGTTTCTGTCACCGCAATCAAGGCAGTCCCACCACGGCACTGCGTGGCAGGGGGCGGGGGTGGGGTGGAAGTGATGGTCCTTCATAAGAAATACAACAGCGTCCACACAGCAGGAGGGAAAAAATAGAACCACTGATCTTTGAGGTTAAGGTATGAAAAAGGAAGTGATGGAAAAGGAGGGGGAAATATAGATTTCACAGCAGCAGAAATGGGAACCCCACTCCCATGCAGAGTCCAGTGGCTACTCCTGGCTTCATGCCAAAGCCTTGGTCATAGCAGTGGAAGGGTGTTCACCAGAGAGGACTGTCTCTTTGTATCATTAGTATCAACAGAAAATAAGGAATTTGTTCTCAGTATTTCTTACTTACCATAAACAAGGACGAGGACTCTGGAATCATAACTGTAATGAATGACCTCAGGGTTCTTGTACAAAACAGTGAGAGAAACAGAGAGAGATGTCAAATAGTTAGGTTCTGACCTTTTTACATTCCAAAATAAAGAGGCATATCTCACTATTGTTGAATCACAGAGTAATTTATTCTTGATACATTTGTTTTTTCCTTTATGTATTCCACTATATTATAAGCTCTGTGTGTGCAAAAGCACGTCTGTTTAGGTCATAATTTTATTCAAATGCCTGGCTATGACTCCTCTCTCTCACATCAAGGTTAAAGGAAAATATTAAAAACAACACTACAAAAAAAAACTAAAATAGGAAGAAAAGTTACAGCTTCAGCCCTTACATCTCATACAACAAATAGGCTACATATAAAAAAAACTAATTATATTTCATAAACTACAAAGCTTTAATTCAGCCAAATAACTGCCATGAAATTAAAAGATGCTTGCTCCTTGGAAGAAAAGCTATGACCAACCTAGACAGCATATTATAAAGCAGAGACATTACTTTGCCGACAAAGGTCCATCTAGTCGAAGCTATGGTTTTTCCGGTAGTCATGTATGGATGTGAAAGTTGAACTATAAAGAAAGTTGAGCGCTGAAGAATTGATGCTTTTGAACTGTGGTGTTGGAGAAGACTCTTGAGAGTCCCTTGGACTGCAAAGAGATCAAACCAGTCCATCCTAAAGGAAATCAGTCCTGAATATTCACTGGGAAGACTGATGCTAAAGCTGAAACTCCAATACTTTGGCCACCTGATGCGAAGAACTGACTCATTGGAAAAGACTCTGATGCTGGGAAAGATTGAAAGCAGGTGGAGAAGGGGACAACAGAAGATAAGATGGCTGGATGGCATCACCAACTTGATGGACATGAGTTTGAGCAAGCTCTGGGAGTTGGTGATGGACAGGGAAGCCTGGCATGCTTTAGTCCATAGTGTTGCAAACAGTTGACATGACTGAGCGATTGAACTGAACTAAACTTGCTTCCAATGATACCACAAAATACACTGGTTTGACTAAGATATTTTCCTTTCAACTTTGATTTTCTTTTATATTAAAATCACTTTTAATACACAAAAAGAATGAAGATTTGGTACTGTGTTATTTATTTACATATCTGTATCCTCAGTTGCTTAGTCCTGTCCTACTGTTTGCGACCCCATGGACTGTAGCCCACCAGTCTCCTCTGTCTATGGGATTTTCCAGGTAAGAATATAAGTGGGTTGCCATTTCCTTCTCCAGGGGATCTTCCAGACCCAGGATTCAAACCCATGTCTCCTGTGTCTCCTGCATTGGCATGAAGATTCTTTACCATGAGCACCAAAGAATCAACTTCTTAAATAGATAGAATTAAAAGAGCCATCAAGATGATTGGGGGAACAATAGGATCTACCAATTTATTTTTTAACCTATATGTGCACATGCATCTAACCTATATAAATATATATTTACAACTTCATAAAATTTCTGAATCAAGAAGAGATCAAAACATCCTTCAAATGGCATGTCAGTCTAACTTTGCATTATACAGGAACTTTCAGATATCAACTCTAGCTTCTCAAAAGAATTCTTTGAGATCAACAGATCTATTGACCATTATTATAAGTATTTTTCTAGATTAAGAACTGTACCACCCAAGAAAAACAGATCAAGCAAACAGGACCACACAGGACAGGGGAACAGAGTAGCTATCCTGCTCTGAGTGATAGGGAAAGAGTTTGCTGCTATAGGTAGTGAGTAGGAGGGAGATGACGTGAAAAGGCGGCTCTGGATCCACTTTGTACGACCTCATATTCTATGCCTTTTGGACAATATTGTCATCTATAAAAAGTAAAATTTGTAAAATAAAAGACAAGTTATGGAGACTTCCCAACAAGAGGTGATATCTAAGTCAAGTTCTGAAACATGCCAGGTTAAAAATGCATCCCAAACAGAGGAGGCAGCATTTATAAAACTGTGTATTATTAAGAAAGGGCACAGGATATTCAAAGTCCAGCAAGTATTTTCTTCTAGAAGTTCATTCTAGCAAAACCATGGATGCGTGTAATTCCCTACACCACTAAGTGCTGCTCATAAGCTTTCTGCTCTATCCTGAGATACTAACTGTTCCTAAGCTCACAGTGAAACCCTGTGTTTCTCAGGAGGGCCTGCATATATTTCTGCCATATGGGATCCGTATGTCTCCCTCATAAAGCCTGCGCTAGGAAAGCTAGTGCGCTTGGCAAGAGCCCCCAAGAATCTGCTTGCCAATGCAGAAGACATAGGTTTGATCTCTGGGTCAGGAAGGCCCCTGGAGAAGGAAAAGGCAACCCACCCCAGCATTCTTGCCTGGGAAATCCTACAGACCGAAGGGCCCGGAGGACTACTGTCCATGGGGTCGCAAAAGAGTCGGACATGACTGTGTGATTACACAACAACAACAGCTATTGCATTTCATGCCCAGGTAGAATGGGATGCCGATGCAAACCATGCCCCAGGACCAAGCCTGACATGCACACACTCTCCAGTCAGCTCAGTCGCTCAGTCGTGTCCAACTCCTTGCCATCCCAAAGACTGCAGCACGCCAGGCCTCTCTGTCCATCACCAACTCCCGGAGTTTACTCAAACTCATGTCCATTGAGTCAGTGATGCCATCCAACCATCTCATCCTCTGTCGTCCCCTTCTCCTCCTGCCCTCAATCTTTCCCAGCATCAGAGTCTTTTCTGAACAGTCAGTTCTTCGCATCAGGTAGCCAAAGGAAATAAGTCCTGTATATTTATTTGAAGGACTGATGCTGAAGCTATTGGAGTTTCAGCTTCAGCATCAGTCCTTCTAATGAATATACAGGACTTATTTCCTTTAGGATGGACTGGTAGGATCTCCTTGCAGTCCAAGAGACTCTCAAGAGGCTTCTTCAAACACCACAGTTCAAAAGCATCAATTCTTGGGTGCTCAGTTTTCTCCAGCAGTGTATAAATTCTGCTGCGTTTGATAAAGCTTTAGACAAAATTCTTAATTGATTTTTCTTGAGGCAAAGTAATAAACTATTCTTTGCAGGCATGCTCACTCTTTCAGAAAACAAACACAGTTCTTGATAGACAATGGTTAGACAGAGAAAAGTCATTACAAAGAGGCTTGCTGTTTTACGATAAAAATATAGCAGCTTCGGTATCACTGAGGGTTTGTAGATAATTTTGAGGTTATTACTAATGCTATACATTTCAATAGGGAATAATGTATCTGCATTCATGTGACACAGTACACACAGCCTTTAGGAACATTTACCAGGGAAAAAAGTTATCTTTGAAAACTGCCTTTGTCCTTCTCTTTACAAATCATTCATCTCAGTAAGGTATACTATATTAAGTCACACATTTTATACATTTATTTTAAGACATAAATGAAGAAAAAGTCTTTTTGTTTTTTTCCTCCGTTTAAAAGCAATGACATAGTCTTTCACAGATGTACAGAACAGACTTTTGGACTCTATGGGAGAAGGCAAGGGTGGGATGATCTGAGAGAACAGCATCAAAACATGTATATTATCAAGTGTGAAACAGATCACCAGCCCAGGTTGGATGCATGAGACAAGTGCTCAGGGCTGGTGCACTGGGTAGACCCAGAGGGATGGGATGGAGAGGGAGGCGGGAGGGGGGATCGGGATGGGGAACACATGTAAATCCATGGCTGATTCATGTCAATGTATGACAAAAACCACTACAATACTGTAAAGCAATTAGCCTCCAACTAATAAAAATAAATGGAAAAAAAAAACAAGGTAAAATTTTGCATAAGAATACTTAAAAGGGCTGGCTCAAGTGGGAAGCATGGCCATTTGCCTTTTGCTTCTTTTCTCTACCTTTCTAACTAGAGGATGAATGTGATGGCTCCAGTTCCAGTAGACATCTTGGACTATTAGATTATCTTTTCCTTTCTTTCTTCCAGGTTTCTTGAGATATAATTGGCATATAGCACTGTGTAAGTTTTAGGGTGTACAAAGTGATGATTTCTATATACATATATACTGTGAAATGACTCCCACAATAAAGATAGTTAACACTTCAAAAAAAAATAAATAAAAGCAATGACATAGTCTTTATAGATTATATAAAAATGCACTCCTTAAAAAACTTATTCCTACATTAGAAAAGACATCAAGCTGCTTGCCACTGATCAGAGTAGAACAAAGGAATAGAGAGGTTACTACTGCCCACCTAAGACCCTTAATCATGTGAGCCTTGCCTCTTTGCTTCAGTATTTCTATATGCTGGGCTAAGGATGGGGTGTAACAACTAGAGACCCAAAAGTCTCCTGCCCTTCCATGATCTTGGCCTAAAACCAAGGACAAAGGCCAACAGGAAAGTGACTCCTACATTATTCATGTACCAAGGAAAAATGACTTAGTTTTTTTTCCTCTCTTGCTCACACAAGCACACACTTCTCAATATGGATAAAAGACATTGCTAAAGAAAGTAGGAAAAAGCAGATAAGGAGACACAAATAGAGATTTTTTCAGTAACTAATGGCAACCCACTCCAGTACTCTTGCCTGAAGAATCCCATGGACGGAGGAGCCTGGTAGGCTGCAGTCCATGGGGTCGCTAAGAGTCAGACATGACTGAAACGACTTAGCAGTAGCAACAGAAATATTTCAGTGAACATGAAACTGTTAGTCATTCAGTTATGTCCTACTCTTTGTGACCCTACGGACTGTAGTATGTCAGCCTCTTCTGTCCAGAGAAGACAGGCAAGAATACTGGAGTGGGTTGCCACTCCCTTCTCCAGAGGATCTTCCTGACCCAGGAATCGAACCCAGGTCTCCTGCATTGCAGGCGGATTCCTTACCATCTGAGCCACCAGGGAAGCATTTCATTAGGACCCACATATCTTTTAAGAAGGTTTTAGGGAACTAAAGTTGATAAACTTTTGTATTATTCCCCCATTTTGATGTGTCAATATCCTGGAAAATGAGAGGGTATATTTGGGGGCATATAGAAATCATGTGGTTTCACATTTGCTTAAGGAAACTTTGCTATGCATTAA